GTGCAGGTAAGCTTCTGTCAGATCTATGGATGTAAGAAAATCCCCCGGCCGAATACTGCTCAGAATAGAATGAAGAGTTTGCATCTTGAATTTTTGGTAAATTAGGTACTGATTTAGAGCCTTGAGGTCTAGGATCGCCCTCCATCTTCCTGAGGGTTTTGGTACCACAAACAGGATGGAGTAGAAACCCAGTCCCCATTGATCTGGGGGTACCCGCTCTATTGCCTCTATGCTTAACAGATGACAAATGGCCTCCTCCATGAGACCTTGTTTCATGGGATTTCTGGATAGGGGGCAGGAGATGAAGTGCCAAGGGGGGAGTTTGAGGAACTCCAGAGACAGTCCATCTCTGATAGTGGTTAGAACCCAATTGTCCATGGTGGTACTTTCCCATTTGTGGAAATATAGTGCCAGTCTTCCGCCAATGGGAGGAATCCGCCTCAAGTCACTTTGACTTTCGAAAAGGACGAGCTCCTCTGCCGTGAAAGGGCCGCTTAGCCTGGAATTGTGGCTTTGGCTTGTCTCTGTAGCCGGACCGGTCCGATGAGCGGTCCGGCCCTGCTTGAAAGGGCCGATACCTGCTCCATGTAGTTCGGTCTGAGCCAGACTTCAACGACGGACGCCGGTTTTATGGAGAAAAACATCTGCCCGTTTTTTTGACAACTTGAGCTAGTACTTTCAACTTTTCTTTGTTTTCAGTCAGGTAAGGAGTGAGAGCCTCTCCAAAAAGGCGACCCTTTTGATATGGTGCCACAGCTACTCTCCATTTGTGCCTGGTATCGGCCTTCCAATTTTTTAGCCAGAACTGGCGTGCGGCCACGTTGGAAGCTATGGCCCGAGACGAATATTTGGCCGACTGCAGAGACACATCCGCCATGTATTCCAGTGCGGCCCTTAGTTTAGTGACATCCTGGTGAACCCTTACTTCGTCTGGGGATAATCTGGCCTGTAATTCCCTGAGCCAGATTAATGCAATTCTGGCGAAAAAGGAGTTAGATGTTGAGGCTCTTATAGCCCAAGCCGATGCCTGATGGGTCCTTTTGAGGGAAATCTCAGACTTCTTGTCCTCAGCCTTAAGGGCCTCCGACATATCTCCTGGGATTTTGGTCTGACAGTATGGGGGCAAGAGCCTCGTCTACACTCGGAACTTCGAGGACATCGTTGAGGGAAGGGACCGTATCTAAGAGCTTATGATCTAATCCCCCAAGAGCAGAGAAACTTCCAGGAGATCCCCACTGATCCTGAATGGATTTGAGAAACATGGAGGGGCAAGGTATCTGTAGGTTCTTCTTGACCGGTTCCAGAAACAGTGGGTCAGAACTCTGTCCAGAATCCTGATCGGTCGTCTGTGGTTTCACGGGTTCAATTTTTCCGGTGACATAGGCCTTTTGTAAAAGAGAATAGAAAGAATTTGGATTAAACACCCCTACATAGGAGTGGCCTCTGCCTGAATGTCTTCCCCGTCTGACCACATGCCTTCTTCCGGAATCTGAGCGGAAAAATCCGATATCTCGCTCCCTTCAGATTGAGGTGGAGAACCGTGATCCGAGATCACATACTCCCTGGGATGCATAGTTTCCGTGGGTGTAGGGGGGGTTGACGGTCCTTGGACCGGAATGGCCCTCCCTGAAGCCGCCATTGCCTGAGCCACCGCCTGTGAGATCATGGCTTGGAGCTGGACAGTAAATGAAAGATGTTCGGGGCCCCAAAGACCCGCCGCCGTCGGCATGAAAGATGCTGACGGGATTGGGGGAGGGACGACTGTAGTAACCTCCCCCTGAGACCCACAGGACACTGAGGAAGGTCCTGGCTCAGCAGCTGGAATTGAATCTTGGACCTGTAATCTCAATTCTCGGTCAAAGAGGGACAGATGGTCCCATTCATATCCCAGCAAAGAACCCTGGTCCAGGATCTGCTCGGGAGACCAAGCCCGTGTAAAGGGGGAAGGTCGATGCTCCACTGATGTGGATGCAAGGGGAGGTGAGGGGATAAGCTGCGTCTCTCCTGTCTGCCCCTGGGCTTTGGAGAATTGTCGCTCCAGCGCCTATGTCTGCTATCTGTTTGCTTGTCATCGGCCTTAGAGGTCCGTTTGACCTTGGCCTTGGCTTTTGCAGGTGTACCCAGACTGGATGGCTTGCGTTTTATATTTCCACTGGAGGTGGAAGCCTGTGAAACGGTGTTATCCGCCATATTGAAATAAACAATAGGAAATAAACAACAGGTGTTCACCAGGAGATCCCTGGATCTGGCCTGTACTACAGTAGAAGAAAAGACAGGTTTTCACCAGGAGATCCCTGGATCGACCCTTGGTCTGCAGGAGAAAGGAAGGCCACGGCCCACCTGGGTGGTACAGGCCTGCACAAGGGTTTGTGAGGTCCGGCCCGCCGTTAAGCACGGAGTCACTACGCGATATAAGCCGCGCTACGCTCAGGGGCTGTCCTCCCCGTTCAATTTTTCAGGTCCACTGTAATAGAGACAATTTGGCCGAAAAGGTATCAAATATCAATTAAAGAAGTCTATATATGAATATAGATATATATCTTGTTTATTTTAATTCTGTTTTATTTTAATTTATTTTTATTTATTTTTTATTTTATTTTATTTATTTTTATTTTTTGACCCTCATGTCTCACTTAGTGACGATTAGGACAGTAAGTGCCGACCACTATGCAGACAGCGGAAAACAGGCAAGGCAAGCAGCCGTCCACTGGATATTTAAAAGGTACTGGTAAGTCACACAGTCTGGAATATTACCAGATAAAATGGAGTGAGAGACTCAAGATATTTTCCCTATGTCCAGTAGGTAACCTGAGATGGTACTTATTAAGCAGCTGAAGCACGAAATAATGAAGATCTAATGGAATGTAATTAGAACTCCTATTCCCCCCCCCCACTTAGGGAGAATCACCAAATAAGTAAGTTACTTTGTGACTGAGAAGACTGTAATTAGGACAAAGCAGTCAATTTAATGTGTGCAATCGGGCGGAGCCCAAAATGGCGGCCAGGATGATCTAATGAGAGATAAAACAAGCTGAGAGAAAAGATCCTCTCCTGCAAGTAATCTGGTAATAAGCTCTTTTAGTCAAACAGTTCACCTGCGGGTTTTTTTGGGTAATTTACAGCTGACAATCAACAGTAACAAGGAAGTACTTGAGTAGTGTGAGGATCGAGCCTTCTAGAAGCTCAAAATGGCGCCCGCAGGTTGTTTGAATTGGTAATGAACCCAGGAAGGTGATTTCAGTTTTCAGCCGAAAATTAGTAGTTTAAAGCTTCGCATTCACAGCGAAGTTCCTGGGAGGGGGTGGGGGAGGTGGATTGTAATGAGGAGGCAGCAATCTACGATCAGCTGTCTGCCTCTGAAAAACTCACGGAGAAGGGACTTGATTAAGAGAAGAAATGGTGCAGCATTGAGCTCAGAGCTGAACCAATCCCCCCCCCCCCAAAGAAGGGAAAAAAGGATAGAGAAACCACGAATGGCAATAACTACCTTTCTGAATCTAAATTAGGAGCCAAATTCTCATGTGTCTTCAGGGCTGAGATCAAACGAAACTGGGGCATGGTCAGACCCTGCAGAGGCGTGGCAACTTTGATTGTTTGGTCTGATTGGGCTAGAAGACTAAATCAACCCATCCTTGGAGTCTACATTCCTCTACATGCTGGAGAAAATCAGGGTTCTGCATGTATGTCTTATATGTCAATTTAAGAAAAGCAATTCTATTTTCAAACATCTTGGAAAGTATTTTTGCAATGAAAACACTTAAAAGAATCATGTTCAAGAAAAATGCTTCAGTATAATCAATTGTTAGTCAGGTGGAGTTTAGATCAGAAGGTTGGTATTACTTTAGATGACGTGAATCTGGTAAAACAGATTAAAGATCAAACTCAAGCCCATATAAAGAGAATTTATAATGTTTTAATAGAATTGGATTCTGAAACGGAGTTAGTTAAAGATTATATGGTAAAATGGGCACAAAATATTCAAGAGCCGATTCTATTGGACCCATGGGAGACAATTTGGGTTAGAAATGTAAAATTTACTAAAGCTCAAAATTTAAGAGAAAATTTTTATAAAATGTTTTATAGGTGGCATTTGGATCCTCAAAAGCTGTCTTATATGTATCCTAATTTACAGCCCAAATGTTCGAGATGTGGAAGCTTAGATGCAACTTATTTTCATATTTGGTAGATGTGTAGAAATATAAAAGCTTTTTGGATTAAGATTTGGTGGAACATTCAAAAGATTTTTAAGAGAAAGATAAAGTTTACGCCACAATTATTTTTGTTAGGTGTTATTGTAGATTTTGATGTTAAAGAGATTAATTTGATGTTGAATCTTATAACAGCAGCAAGATTATTGGTGGGGCAATATTGGAAGAAAGATTCTTTGCCAGTATGGAAGAATGGATACTCAAGGTGTCTAATTTAGCAGAAATGGCAAAGATTTCCGTTTATTTGAAGGACTACTCACAAGAAAGATATATTTCGGTTTGGAAAAGATGGATAGATTATATTCAGAATAAATATGAGACTAAAAAGTATTATCTAGCTTATGAGTAAATTTTAGATTTTTATTAATAGTTTAATATGATTGAACTTATATTAGTTTTAGTATTATGTTTAATTAATAATGACTTGTTTATATTATTATTTTTGTTTTTAATTTGCTAATATTTTGAAAGGGAGTTAAAGTACGTTATGGATTTGATTGTTTGTATAGTTGGGTAATGTTAGTTAGATTATGATTGTTTATTTGTAACCCTGTAATCAGCTCTGGGAAGTGGGGGACGGGGGAGGGATTTGGGATATATATTGTATAAAATTTTTAAAACTTTTAATAAAAAAAAAGAAAAATGCTTTCAAAGTAAAATTACATAAACAAAGCACTGACTATCAGATATATTTCTATTAAAATTCTCTTTTAGCAGTTTTAGAGTTTTGCCTTTCCTCAAAATGCTTGTTTAAAAATCCTGGTAATATCCCAATTAAAAAAATATAAATACTTCTCTGAGTTTCTCTCTTTCACGCTCCCTTTCTGCAATTCGTTTTCTTCTCTCCTCTTCTTCTTTCAATGCATTGTGCGTTTCTGTTCTGAGTTTATCATCTTTAATAATCTTCCTTATTTTTTTCCTGCCTTTTCCAGGAGATTTAGAATCATCATTATCGTCATCTTCAGTATTACTCTGTAAAAATTCAAAAAAGATATATTCTCAACATGATTTCAAATAAAACACAAAACACTCTTTCAACAAGCTTAACAATTAACTGTTATTGCCTTTTATTGTTTAATAATTTCAAATACTAATACTGGCTAACCAAACTGCATAATGCAACTTTTGTAGGCGGGGCGTATAGGTTATCACTTGCACTGAGATAGTACAGTAAGCATTTCCCATGTGTATAAATTAAGATCTCAAAGACTAATTTCTATTTCCTTTCCATTATATCTCAACTGGATTTGAGATTTCCTGTATTTCCAAAGCCCTTTACTGTATTATAAATCACACAGGAGCAAAGTACAAAAACAATAGGTGTAAATTTTTAAATTTAATTTTAAAAATGCCATGATTGTCACACAATGAAGTGAGATTTGGTGTGATTTTGGAATAATTTGTCCAATCCAAAGTAAACCTATTGAGAATGAGTATGCTAACATCAGAGAATAGGATGTAACAGTTTTGTATGATATAAAAGCTTACTCAGAGTTTAGTACTATTTAGAACTGTTTCATATTTAAACAGCAAACACAGAACCTCAACATTTAGCCATTGTGTCCAAATTTAAGCATTCCTGACTGATACATTATTCAGTTGCCCCTTGAGTATATCTAGTGAAGGGAAGCCCATCTTCACTTTAAAGAAAAAAAACACAATCAGGGAGTTTTTCCCTTAGATAACCTTCTTAAAAACTAAGTTCCTTTATTCTATCAGGACATAGTGTATAAGCGTTGCTTGAGCAGGGTCCGTAAGATTGTCTGGGATGCTACACATCCTCTTCATGACCTGTTTTCTTTGTTACCTTCTGGAAAGAGGGGCTTCGTGGTATCCGAAGCAGAACATCAGTCATTGTTTTGTGCCATATCGTATTAACCTTGTGAACTCTAAAGCTTCTGCCTTCCGTTATGTATTCAAGATGGACAGTGATTAATATTTATATGTTGCTTATATGTAAGGGTGTAGGTCTATACATATGTTGTATATAGTATGTTTAAATGTGTGTTATGTATGTGTACACTTTGAGAGCAAGCAAATAAATTTCATTTTTAATATGTGCCATTGTACCCAAAGTAAAAAATACAATAAAGGTTATCTATCTATCTATCTATCTATCTATCTATCTGTCTGTCTGTCTGTCTGTCTGTCTGTCTGTCTGTCTGTCTGTCTGTCTGTCTGTCTGCCTGCCTGCCTGCCTGCCTGCCTACAGTACCTACCTACCTACCTACCACATGCACTCTGGGCTGACAAAGATGAGGCGTTGGTCTCCTTTTAAAGAATGCAATCATTTCCCTATCACTCATTTTTCTCAAAACTAAGCTCCTAGCTGCTCTTTCCAAGGAGTCTTAATTTATACTTCCCTGATCAATCTTATTATTCTTCTCTAAATCTATTCCAATTTTGTGAATAGAATTGGCCATAATACTTGAGTTGGAATTAAACTAGAACATCTATCCTTATGATGGGATGGTATGTGGGAATGACCTTGGGAAATAGTCCCACAGATAGGGGAACACCCTGGCAGCCTAGCCCATAGAAAGATATGGGTATAGGAAACATCACAGACAGTAAGTAAAGGTGATGTAGTAAAGATTTACTAAGCAGTAAATGTGATGGGGGAGAAATGTATTTTCAGATTTGCAAGATTCTATTAATATAAGCTTACAATAAAGTATATTTAGTTCATCTGGGCATGCTTCCTGTCTGCGCTATCTTGCAAGGTTGACAGTTGCTATATCAAAGTTGTTTGGAAAGTTTCTTTAGTTTCAGAAACATCTCATTGTAGTTGGGAAGGTATTTGTAAAGGATTTTTAAAATCATGGAAATTTGAAGACAAAAACAAAACAAAAACAAAAAAGTGCTGGCCTAACCAGGCAATACCTTGCTGTTTTCACTAGATGAATCTTCTTGGACCTTTATGCGTCGCCTTTTCTTCTTCTGTTTATAACTCCTCTGATTTTCTTCTAATTCTGCTTTCTTGGCGGATCTAAAAAATGGAAGAGGTACTGTTCTAAAAAAAATTATTCAGTTTATTTATGATTTTATTTATTTATAATTTTTTAAAAATATTTTTTAAATATTTTATTTATTTATGATTCAGTTCACTCTTGTTTCTTCTGCATTGATATTTTAGAATGAAGGAACGCAGTTGGGGGATTTCACATTGGGTTGAGTTAGGAATTTAATGATGGTTTATTGCTTGATTGGCTGATCTGCATAACTAGCATAAAGCATGATTTACAAACCATATTGTAACACCCCAAGCCAAAAACAAAACAAACCACACTGCTCCATGCTTTGTGAAATATGTGAAACCAGGAAAAACCACAGAAGTATCCCAGATGCTTATATTTTTTTAATAAAAACAAAAATAAAAAATGTCTGGATTTTAGGAAACCGGATTTGTAGAAAAAACATGATAATTCCAAAGCATTCCAGATAGTAAACAGATTTTTTGTTTCTTTCTCTTCAAAAAGCAGATTATAAATCTGAATTTGGTGTTCAGGTTTTAATGGCTAAAGCAAGATTTAAAAAAACTTGAAATGAAATTTCTGGGTTGGGAATTGCTTTGTAATTTTATCTCTACTGATCTCTGCAGAGGTCTTTCTGCAAAATTATTAACGTTAACAAAATATGACCTAGGACAGTGGTGGCAAACCTATGGCATGGGTGCCAGATGCGGCACTTGGAGCCCTCTCTTTGGGCACACGTACCATTACCCCAGCCTTGCCTCCCCCGACCCCCCCCTCTCCAGCAGCCCCCCTGAAGGAGAGTTCCCCCCCCCCGAGCGTGGCCCACACGGAGCAGCGCAGCCAAGGACACGGCAGCCAGGCAGCGTAGACAAGACTCTGCCCTCACACCCCCTCATGCAGTTGATGCTGCAGGGCGCAGACAGAGGGTGTGGCCACCATAGCACTGCTGGACTACCTGGGCAATCTGCGGCGGGTCCTGGAGGCGATGAGTGGTCCTGTGGGCAGGCAGGGCAGGGGGGTAGAACGGGGGCGGGACCAGTTTTGGGGCACTCGGTCTCTAAAAGGTTCGCCATCACTGACCTAGGACCTTCCGTCAAAAAACATATGCTACCTTGTTCTAGGACGTTGATCATCTTCAGATTCACTCACTTCTTCACTAATTCCAGATTCACTGGCTTCTGAATTACCCGAATCCTCACTGCTGACTTTAAGATTAAATAATTAAAATGTATCAAGAAATTGTACATTTTCAAAGTTAGCACAATTAGTTAAATAGAAACCCAAAGTAACAGCAAGATAGCAAGAAACTATGAAATGAATGAAAACTATCTCCTATCATGTAAGAAATGCAAACCTGTCATAAAAAACTGCCTAGTAAAACAAATATTATTTAAATAATTATATTATTTGTAAATTTTATTTGCAATAATTATGTGCCATCAAGTTGTTGTTGACTTTTAGCAACCACACAGATTTTCTTTATGATGATCTGTCCCTAACTTGGTCTCTCAGGTCTTCCAACAGTAATGAGTAATGAGAGAAGCAACCTAGAACTAAGGAGAAACTTCCTAACAGTTAGAACAATTAACCAATGGAACAACCTGCCTCCAGAAGCGGTGAATGCGCCAACAATGGAAGTTTTTAAGAAGAGACTGGACAGCCTGAGCAGGGGGTTGGACTCCAAGGTCCCTTCCAACTTTATTATTATTATTATTATTATTATTATTATTATTATTATTATTATTATTATTATTATTATTAACATGTAGTAAAACAATATAAGTGAAAAACTAGGCAAAAATTGATATACAATTGTGATTTGCATGATGATTTGAATGTAAAATTTCTAGGTTTGAAAACTACTCCAATCCAGCTCAGTGTTGCAACTGTTTGATTAATCCCAGAAGCATTCTGAATCCAATATTTCTCATTTAAATGCTTCTAGAGTTTTTAGAAGAGCAGTGTGATGCTTCTGGTAAAGTGGGACAGCTCATTTCAAGTTTGACACAGAAACTGAAATGTTTGCATCTGAAATGTCTTGCAGTTTTGATATACAATGTTGTCTGAGAACTATTATTAATGAGTGCTAATATTAATACTTTTTAAAAATATACCGATAAAATGAAAGATTGGTAATTTTTATGAAGGTTTGTTTCCATTTTAGCCATCCAACAATGGATTCTATCTTCTAACTCTTCCAAAATGAAAAGTCCCAATATTTTAAATCTGTTTTCCAATATTAAAGTCCTAGTAGTGCCTCTCTCCAATTCTGTCCCAAGAGCTAAGATAAGGCTATTCTGAAACTGAGGATCCCAACAGAAGGAGAGAAAAGTGACTACCTGACTATGAGTAAAAGAGATCTGCTTTCTTAAGACAAAAAAACCCTCATCCTTTGGGCATGCTCTTGGATACTTATTCACACAAGGATAACAATATAGGTGGAAAGACATGGGAGCCAACAATCAGAGAGAGTCTGATACTATCTTTGCAGACTGGCAAATCTTACAACAAAGCATTAGCTTTTGTGAGTTGCATCAGATGTGAGCTGTTGTGCATGAAAGCTTGTCTGTGAATCTGTAAGGACAAGAACAACAAATCTTTTTGGTATTGTAGAGAGGCACCCAATGAAGTTAGGTAATCAAACTGAATGGTTGGAAATAATTAGCCCAATTCCCAAGTGGCAAGAAAAATCTGCAGTAATACATTTCTTCCAAATGCCTTCTCAGACGCATTTAAAAACAATTTATAACGTGCTCTCTATCTTGGCTTATTAAAAGGGCTAAAGAAGAAAAAAAGAATAAACCTTTTATTCTAATGAAAAAAATAATTAACTAACTTTATAGATAAAAGGGAAAAGATGATGGTATATTTGGTCAGGTATGGAGAAAACTTCAGATTCTGCAACATTCCATCTGTCAGAATCCAATTATATTTCATCTTTAAATTATCAAATATAGAAACTCCCAATTCTGCCTTCTCTGGATTCTGCCATAAGAGGGAGAGAAGGGGGAGAACAAAGGGGCTTTATGGCCCTCACTTCCTTCTTTACACTTCAAAGAGCTAAATGCTGAATGTGTGTTTATTGTAACCTCGAAGTGTTAGCATACCAAAGGAGAGTAATTGCCTTTCATGTAGTTATCTGAAGTCTCCATCCAGACGGAAGAAAGAAGAAAGGGAGTGGAATTGTGATACTTGAAACTATCACTGGAAGGGGGGTTGATTGGGTGGGACTACTGGGGAACCCCTTAAAACCTTGAATGGGAGAGCTTGGACCCCAAGTCCTGTCTAGCATGCCTGCAACCATTTTCTCTTAATAAAGGATTCCTGTTGGAAGAATTATTCCAAGAGTTCTGTCTTCTTAAGATGCAAAGTGGGGTGGGTCCTTACACCATCTCTGTACCCAACCCCATTACTCTGGCAGTTTTCAAACTCTAGACTCTAGTTTGAAATATTTTTCCTGCTTTAAAAGAGGAATTTCTCTAAAACTATTAGCCCACCTCCAGAATAGCCAAATTGGCATAGTCCTTAGGAGAAACTGAACATTCTGGATTTCTTCAGAATATTTTGTTCCTGGAATATTTTTTGCTCACAGGTAGATAAGAAAGAGAATCACTGACTGAAAGGACTGATACTTTTGATACCCTTCTTACAGAGTTGATTGCTATTAATAACCCCTTCTACAAGTCATTATGGTTTATTTCTTAGTGATGCAGAAAGAGGAAGGCAAGGTCTTGGAAACAGCATAGATTCCAAATGTGGATGTTATGTATTATTAGAAGACTGAGAAGAGGACAAAATATATCTTAGACAGAATCTTTGACTTAGGATGATGCCTACCTATGCTTCATGCTGGCTTTGATCAGATTTACTTGAGAAAAAAAAGCCTCCCTGAGCCTTGTCTATATATAAATATAACTATTCTGTCTAAACTATTAAGCGTGCAAGTTGGAGCAGCCAAAATGGAATTGGTGTCACAAGATCTGTCTGTTGCAATTTTGCTCATCAGAATTCCCTGAGCCTCTCATGGGGGGGGGGAGGAAGAAGATCAGCTGGAGGAGGCAGGGAAGCCATAAGGGAAGAGAGGGGGGGAGAGGGGACTGCAGTTGTAAATCTGGGCAGGCTGCCCAAAACCCAAATGTTGGCACATGACTCTAGGGGTGCTGCAATGGCCATAACTTTGAGGACTATCTATCGTTAACTACCATTTGATCAGTGCGATTGTATCTTCAAATGGTCACTGAATGAATAGTCACGAAGTGAGGACCACATGTAAGCTATCCACTTCACATAAGAGTGTTTTTTTAATGAAATAGGAAAACAAGGATAGGATTCAGCGATTAAAGAAATTGTTTTAGACATATCCCAACGCCTTGGGCCACATTTAAAGCAGCTGTGAAAAAGTGAGGGGGATTTTATTATGCATCATTAACAGTAAATGTGTAATAAAATAATTAAGCCAACAGAGTTCTTGTTAGTCTGCACACACATCAATATAAACAGACTTAATACCCTTCCTCCTATTTCTGCGTTTAACTTCTTTTGCCTCTTTAGATTTTCCCTTTTTCTCTTCCTGGGACTCTCCATCACTCATTGTTAATTTGTGTCTTAACAAACGGTGCCTGTATCTAGGTTTCTTGGCCTCTTCAGCATCTGAATCCGAGTCAAAGTCATCTTCTTGCTCATTCTCTCCTGTTGCAGGAAAACAAAAAACATAAGACTTACATGCACAAATTTTTCAAGCTTATATCAATATCAGATTTATATCAATATAATAATGAATTAACTGCATTATAGCAGTCTCTGGAACAAGTACCAAACAAATCATTATTTTTACTAATGTTATTAAATAAGCAAGTTATATTTAAGTGGTAAAATAGCTTTTTAGTTACCCTTCTCCAACCACCTCTCAATCCAGCAGCTGGACATTTGGGCTCCATCCATTCAGGGAGGGATACTCTTAAAAACTAGAAAAATGCTGCTGAGGCAACATTGAATCCAAAGATTTAATTTTCAGATAAATAAAAATCCTCAGGGCAAGGTTTGAGTGGCCTGTTCAGAACCTGAGGAGTGCCACATGGGTGAGAATGCTGCTCTATCTAGTCCAGCAGTCTGGCCAACCAGTTCATTTCCAGGCAGAGAGGCTTCAGAGGCCGTCCCGCTGACTCCCATGATTTTTATGAATTCCTCCAAGCCTTTTATGAAGCCAGCCAAGCTAGTAATCACCCCCGCATCTTGGAACTAACCTAATAAAGGATTCAACATCATTTACCATTTAAGGTTTAGCTGGTTATATTTAGTAGCAAATAGTATGTTATTGTAGTGGTAGAGGTAGTAACAGATTTTATTTTTCTGGGCTCCAAGATCACCTCAGATAGGGACTGCAGCCAAGAAATTAAAAGACGCTTGCTCCTGGGGAGGAAAGCTATGGCAAATCTAGACAGCATACTAAAAAGCAGAGACATCACCCTGCCAACAAAAGTGCGTATAGTCCAGGCCATGGTTTTCCCAGTTGCAATGTATGGCTGTGAAAGTTGGACCATAAGAAAGGCTGAGCGCCAAAGAATTGAGGCCTTTGAACTATGGTGCTGGAGAAGACTCCTGCGAGTCCCTTGGACTGCAAGGCGTTCAAACCGGCCAGTCCTAGAAGAGATCAACCCCGACTGCTCTTTAGAAGGCCAGATCCTGAAGTTGAAACTCAAATACTTTGGCCACCTAATGAGAAGGAAGGACTCACTGGAGAAGGGCCTAATGCTGGGAAAGATTGAGGGCAATAGAAGAAGGGGACGACAGAGAATGAGATGGCTGGATGGAGTCACTGAAGCAGTAGGTGTGAACTTAAATGGACTCCAGAAGATGGTAGAGGACAGGAAGACCTGGAGGAACGTTGTCCATGGGGTTGCGATGGGTCGGACACGACTTCGCAATTAACAACAACAACAAGTATGTTATTGAGGAACTGTTACAATGCTCTTTGATGTGAAAATGCATTTTTTTTTTCTACCAAGTGCTTACCACTGTTATTTATGTTTTTTGCTCGCTTTCCTTTCTTTTTCTTCCCATCGTTGGATTCTTCATCAGAAGAAGCATCCTCCTCTGAGGAAATATTGGCTTTGATTTCATCTAAAAGCATTTTCTTGGCAATTCTTTGAAGTAAAACAAAAAAGGTGTATTCCATTGGTTCACCAATAACAAACAATAAATATAAATGTAATTATGCAACTATATTAAGCAGATCAAGCATTATTTAAAAAAATGAGCAAGATTAATGGATGGCCATCAGCAATGGAATTTGTGGAAGCATGAGTTGTTAAACATTTTCAAATTCTATCAACTGATCAATTTGTTATAGAAGTAGTCCTTGACTTACAACCATTTGTTTAGTGACTGTTCAAAGTTACAAGTCACTGAAAAAAGTGACTTATGACCATTTTTCACACTTCTGACCACTGCAGCATCCCCATGGCCACATTATCAATATTCAAACGCTTGGCAATCAGCATGTATTCATTATGACAGTTGCAGTGTCCCAGAGTCATGGGATCACGTGTTGCAACCTTCTAACAAACAAAATGAACGGCGAAGGTAGATTCACTTAACAATCACGTTACTAACCTAACAAATGCAGTGATTCATTTAACAACTGTAGCAAGGAAGATCATAAAAGGGGGCAAAATTCACTTAACAACTGTCTTGTTTTACAATGGAAATGTTGGGCTCAATTGTGATCATAAGTCAAGGACTAGCTATAATTTCTGTGGCTGTTGTTAATACAACCACAGTGCTAATTTCCATTTTCTGCTCCCTTCAGTATTGTGCTAACAATCTTTATACTACAGCAATTTTAGCTGAATATCAGGATCCTGTATCAGGCATATTTCAATATGAAATATCATTTTAAAGAGAAAGTTTAAAAGCCATTTCTTGAGTGCTAATTTTTAGAATTGTACAAGATAACAAACCTTGAAGCCCTGGCTAGGAACTTGAAGGAGATTAAGCCTAGTCATATCTTGTGATATACCTTATAATGGACAGAGAATCAGTGGTCCATCAACACTGCCCAAAGGAAGCGCATATATATATTACTCATCCTAAGCACTAGACTGGCTTTCCTGGCTTAAGAGTACTTGTAGACTGTCAACTCCTTTTGTTTTAATCATAGTACAAAAAGCACAAACACCAGTGGGACCTCTGCAAAGGAATCTCACTTCCCCCTCATACCAAGGCAAGCCAGGCAGTTCAAAACAGACGGCAGTAACCCAATAATGATAAAGGCAAACTTGGTCCTTTCCTTCTCGTGGGCAGAAGATACAGAAGACACAGAAAAGACCAACTGCAAAAGCCTTAAATTGAAGGCAACCATACTAGAACCTAAGACTGTGCTGATGGGTCCAAGTGGTACAATTTAAAATAGAAGCAGTCCATCTCATCCTGAGGTGGAATAGTAGTAGTAGTAGCAGTAGTAGTAATAATAATAATAATAATGATGATGGTGATGATGTTTTCCAGATTCTCGGCCCACATTCAACACAATAACTGGTTTTCAGTGACAGAAATTAGAGCAAACTGAGCGGGCTTGCCCATAGTTTTCAAAGAATCTCAGCTGAATGTTTTCCCAGATATATGTAAGTAATAACCAGAGGTAAGAAAAACAGGTGTCTCTCAAAAGCCTATTGAATAAAACTATAAGCAGTTTTCGCTAATCTCTGAAATGTTTACGTGCACCCAGTTTCAAATATGCACCCAGATGTTTATGAATTGGTTTAGTACGAATGCCCTCACCATACAGACTGGTTTGAAAAATACCCTTCGACCTTCCTCAAGTTTCATCAGTCTTTTTCAGTCTAACGTATTTCTGGACTAAAACGGATCCAAAGAGCAAGATTGGTATCTACCATTGTATTGGTTTCCCTTAATAAAACCAAAAACAAAGAAAATGCCAATCTAATATAAATCTTCAGGGAGCACTTTTTTTCTGCAATGAAATTGAATGGTAAGGAGAAATTTAACACAAAAGAAAACAACTATTTAACCATGGCCATCCTTTTCTCCAGTGCTGTATCAACAATATTTGGATTTCTCCAAATCAATGAATTAAACTTATAAGCAAACTAGAACAGCAGCAAGGTAAATCTGAAGAAACTCTGCTAGCAAGAAACCAAAGGGATTGCAACAAGGAGAGCTTCAAGTGGAAGGCTTACTTACTTCAACTTTTGACATAGGTTGTGATTCAAAGTTCACCAAACCCTATAAAAATATGCTTTTTCTGATAAAGGAGAATATTTGTAGCTCAGGGTTGTGTTCTCTGAGCTTGGCTGTTTTCTTGCAAACATTTCATTACCCAAACTAGGCAACATCATCAGTGCTGTTGAAGTGACCTAATTAGTGTTAACATACATTTTCCATACCTAGCTTTTATCAAGTGGAACAAAGAAGCAAACCATCTCAAATTATGCTTAGGTTTCAAAACATGTAATATCGAATAGTTGGACTTCCAAAAGGAGACACATATTCTAAGTCATACTGATAGTAAAATGTTTTGGTGTTTCAAATAAAGTCCATTTTAACTGCTGTGAAGACATAACATGACATTCAGAAAATGCTAATTAACTAGGTAAGGAGATGCAGACATGGGAATGAACTTCAGAGAAGCTGAACTCTCTGTTCATTAAATCTTTATTTAGTAAACACAAGTACTATTGACAAATACTAGCGTATTTACTCGCGTTTATCATCCAGCCTTCCCATACTGTGATATAAAGAATGTGAAGCATATGCTCATCACAATATAAACTATTTTAAAATGCCTTTAAAAAGCAACATTATGAATTAAATCCAAAATACATTAGTCACAACTAATACAGTTGATTGATTGTCAATGAAGCTAAATCTTTGCTGATGTTTTCTGGATTCGACCATCTTAAAATGACTTAAAATGACAGCCAAGATGGTAGTTATCTGCAGGCCCCATTATCAAAGCTAATACTGTCTTATTTTTCTTCAACAAGATTGTTGGTGACATCATCAAATGTTTATTCAATTTATAGTGCTGAGGTGAGAATAGTTTTTACTCCTTTTCAATTCTACTGTATCCTGATCTATCACAGTTTCAACTGCAAGACTAAATGCACATATATTTGCAGAGCCACATATGTATGTTCTATCCCCCCCCCTCAATTTTTGATATCAGCTCTGGACATGGTCTACTGTACCCACAACTGCATGAAAGGTGAGTGTTAAGCAATTTGGAAGGGCATCATGCAGATGGTAAGAGTTCCAAATTCATGTACGTGTTTTCTGAGATGTCTTACCAACTACCATACCAAGTATGTTTACAATTACATATTTGACATATTCTGAGTATGAGAGTAAATTAAAAATATTACATACTTTAATTCAGTTTAGTTGGTATAACATGACTAAATAGTGTTAAAATTTGAAACTTCAAAGAATGGTAAGCTGCATATTATGAGGACAATATAAATGACAATAGCTAAATAAATTGTTTCCTATTATATCTTAGTAGAAAAAATGTGTTTCTTAAATTAAATGCTTGGACGAGAAACATGTTTTACAAAAATTTATTGCATCCATCAAATACTTCAAAGGCATTGTGCATGAATACACTATCTCTTAATGAACAAAATAACTCCAAACATATTAAAACAGCACTATTTAAAAATTCAGACAAACCAATAATAAACAAATACACGCCACAATGAAAATACAGCACTGTCTGTTATATTAAGACTCACTAAAATATTGCAAATTGGCAAAGTTGATTTTAACATTTTTAACAAGAGGCATGTTAAAATAGTTTCTTCAGAAAAAGAAAGTTGTAAATACAACCGTCTAAATTGTAACAATACTACAGATCTCTAACATCTTTCTTTGGCCTGGTAGAACTGTTTCATCCATTAAGCAAAAGCAAGCAACAGTCAAATTGCAAGCCTAAGCACATTTCCTTGAAAGTTTGGATTGATAGATCACAGTGCAACTCCCAATGGCAGATCCCACATGCAGGCCAAATCAGTTCAGCTTGCAAATGGAAGCAGGGATGATAACCACAGCTGCATTTTTGTGCTGCAAGAGCTGCTCTTCAGAGTGTGGGATTGAAGATACCACAACAGAGAGGAGAAGCAGAAGAGTCCCCATGCTCGGGGGTCTTTCTGCATACAACTCTTGGGACACTTTAATTGCAGCTTCCTGATTCTGAAGCAAAATGATGTATTTCAATACATGTTAACCAACATGCATCTTGGTTAAGATTATTTGTCTATGAACACCAACTCCATGTAAGAGAGGTAGATCAATTTTATTCCTGGATAATACAGTATTCTGGGATTTTCCCACATTAAAGCAATTCCAGGAATTTTATGAGTAAAATTATATTTGATGATTAAAAATATGATTTAAGATATATCTACTAAACATTGCAGATTTTTTGAAAAATCCAGCTTTTGATTTTCTATATAATTTTTCTACTAGAAATTATTTTTTTAAACTTAACAAGGAAATAAGGAACTCTATTTTGACTCTTTGAAAGTCTTAACAGAATGTTTGAACAATTTCCTTACCACTGTTTCTTATAGTAATCCCTAAACAAATATTAAAGTTCATTTTCAAACATTTTTAAACATTGTATATGAAAAGCAAGTAATAACCTAGAATAGCAGCATTTTATCTGTACCCAGGTCCACATTGGAGAACAAGTGTTAAAACTCATTTCAGGTACAAAAAAATAGGTTTTGTTTTCTCTAGGTAAAAACCAGTTAGTTTACTTAGTAACAAACAATTCTAAGCCCCACAAAGCCAAATGCATATCTATCACTCCCAAAATATTCTATTCAGTTTGCTGAAACAGCTCCCACAAAGAAACTGCTTGATAACCAACATTAGGCATAGATGCCTTAACAAAAACATGTTGTCAATTCTGTAACAGTGCAATCCTCTGCATATTTTCTTAGTTTTAAGTTCCCCTGTGTTCACTGAGGCTTCATGCCCTGTTAAGTTACTAAAGATTGCAACCTGTTCTATTAATTTAAAAAATTCCTTCTATTCTATTGTTTCCTGGTTTACATCAGTTACAGAATTCATGTACTATGAACTTTATAAGGCCTACAAAGCTAAATCCTTAACTACAGTGATATTTTAACATTAAATGTTAACAAATAAACATGTATGCACATGTTCAATTTAACATGCGACTGTCGTCTAAACAAAGCCAATAAAATTTCAAATGATTAAAGCAATTCAAATCATCATATCACTACTACCAAGTATTCAAATTTTGAAATTATAGAAATTTGTAATTCAGGATACTGGGAAATGAATTTCTCCAAAAGCATGTTCTACTTCTGGCCAGTTATAATCAAGTTTTTGTAAGAGCTAATTTATACTCTGGTTGAAAAGGCATTCAACTGCCATCAAAATGCTATCAGTATTGAATAACTGCTCATCTCCCATTCCTGTGGAGAGCTGTAATTATCATTTTTTTAAAAGAGTGAGTTGTACAATTTACACAAAATTCACATTATACATGGAAACTTAAAATGGACAGTGCTGCATTTATAACGCACCCTATGCAAGGTGTGTGACTTAACACTTAAATCGTATTTTCTTTTCATTTCTGGATTGGGGGGTTTGTTTTCTGGCCTCTCGTTCAAGCTGGCGGGAAGCCTGTGAGCGAGTCTGTACAAGGCAGGCACTTCTGGTTTTTACAACCTGCTTGCTGTTCCGTTGCTCTGGCTTGCGCCCACGCCTAGGGTGTGTTATAATCTTTTTAAAGTCCTTACGGATGGAATCATACCTATTCTCGGGATCATCATCGTCATCTTCCTCTTCTTCCATTGGCACAGCTGCAGATTTGTGCTCCCCTTCATCTCCTTTAGAAGAAAAAAGGGGAGACATATTTGGCACAAAGAGAAAAACGTCTGCTATCACTGCTATGAGATACCATCTCCCCTATTTGGGGAATAGATGTGTACAGCCACCCAAATCCCATGCGCTATAGAAGAGTTTCTGCATTTCAACCTCGTGAAGAGGAAGAATTATACAGACTTACAACTATTTTTCTAACATCAGAAAGACAATAGGGGATTAGCATCTACAGATCTTACATTTTGGCACTGGTCATTTTATATACTTAGTCCATTCAAACATATGGCAGAGGACTGTCATCCTGTACTAGATTTATTTACTTATTCATTTATTTACTTTATTCGTTTATTTATATCCCGCCTTCATTATTTTCAAAATTACTCAAGTATCCAACATACTTTCTTCCTATTTTCCTCACAACAACCCTGTGAAGTGGGCTAGGCTGAGAGAGACTGACTGGCCCAAGGTCAATTTCAGTCTATTCTATATATTAAAGCAAATATAAATGGAATTAACACCATGTATACCACTTTTCAAAAAGAGCACACTACAAATATAATGAACTATCTGGCTAAAGCTACATATCTACTCAAGACAATGCACAGAACTCAAATGACAGTCACCCAATAACTGTTCCTGGTACAATTTGACAAAGAATTCCTAACAAATTCTAAAAAAAATAGACCTCCATAAAATTGGGAGTACAATTTACCATGGGCATAATACTGCACTTCTTCCAACAACATCAATAAACAGATACTACATTACAAAGTTTTCTCATTTGCATATGTTCAATCACTTTTCTCTAGGATGAATTCCTCTCCATCCACTTCATTTAAACACTATATCAATATCAGGAATGATCATGATTTCTAAACCTAGTTTAGGCCATTCCTCATCTTTATATGATTTGCGTACGAACTCAAAGGCATTGTAGACAGAAAGCCAGGTTCGTCTGTGCTAGGCAAAAATCAGGGGGAGTCTGGAAGCACCTTTTCCAACGCAAGAGTTTTATTAAAAGGCCTAAACTTTCATGCACTGCAAAGTATTTCATCTCTATCTAATGAAGTGAACTGCAGCGCATGAAAACGTAGGCCTTTTAATAAAAATTTAGTTGGAAGAGTACTATCAATAGCACTATGCTGATTTTTGGCAAATTCAGTGTAGAAGCAATGTAAGAACTATTAAAGTCTAATTCTCATTCTACAAGGCACCCCTTGGATCTAGCTTGGAGTGCTGATAGTTCGGGGCAAATGTTCCTTGCAGTGTGAAATTTGAAGGAGATCAGTATCAAGGCAACCACTTAAGTGTTGGGTGGCTAGTTGATAAGCAATCTGGCAGGAAGCAATACAATACTTAGAAATGGTCAGCCGTTGGGATCAATATTATGTTTCTTCTCCTAGTTACAGAAACCTGGGCAACTTCTCAATTTCATGGGCATAGGAAACATTTATGAATTGAAAATTTTAAAAGAACATATTAAAAAATTCTAGTGGTTCTAGTAAAAGCCCCACTTGTAGCAACTATTGTAAGTAAATCTGCATATAGGAAGTCATATAACATCCAAATGATTCAAATACACAAAGTCTACCAAAGAAAAAGCAACAAGGCCAAGTAACACACAGCTGGTCTCTTAAAACTGAGGGCTTTAAAGGTGTTCTCAAAACCCAGCCCAAAGCTCAGGGGTTACATTCTTGCATCCGAGGGGGCTAATCCATTGCTCAGGTGTTCTATTTTTCAGTAGACCTACCTATGCTTCCTAGTGCTGATTCCACATAAGAGGGAGGACAAATAGGGCTTTCTCTTAAGGGTTTTAGAGTCCCCTGTCCTTCATCAGGGTCTCCTGGAGTATCTTGCTGCCCACAAGCTCACAATAAGTTTTAGAGGTTCTTCTGAAGAGGATTTGGGCAGGGGAGGAAAAGAAGGTACTGTATGTCAGAAGCATATCCTCTAAAAGCTTCTGCAAAATCAGTCTATACCAGAATCAAAAATCCCAAAGTGAAGTTAAATTTTAGACCACAAATCACCAAGAAGTTGGAAAAAAATGCTGTAGCTCATAAAAGTGTGAAAAAGTATCAGACACCTCTTAGTGGAATAATAAATCTGTCTCCCCCTTTCAATGTTTTAGAAAAAGTATAGAGGACATGAATACTTTCATTTCTCTTCAATGTGTATTTTCCAGTGAGAAAGAGAAAGGGCCTGGATTCCAGAGACTCTGCCATTTCCTCCTTATAAAAGCCATCTTGCTCCAGTTAATCCAGGCCATTTATGAGCCGCAGAGCACTCAGGAATGTCTTGGACTTGCTCAGGGCCAAGCTTAACTTTTCCAACGTTAACATTTGAGAGCATCACTAACTAAATTCTATTGCCTTAAGACTGTGCTATGAAAACACCCTCATAAATGAAATTACACAGGCTCGGTATTTTTGTGGGCATCTTTTTCTTTGTTTCAACCACATTACTTTCTTTATTCAAAAGGAATTCAAAATTTTAAATCAAGTGAATATGTTGATCTTTTTTAAGCCAAAAAACAAACCTAGCTCAAAAGAATTACTGGAGACAAGACCAAGAAATCTAATATTTAGATTTATTTAGATTTATCTATATATTTAGATATTTAGAACAGAAACAAGGAATTTTTTAGCATGGCATAATCCCTACACTGTTTCAAGCTAATCACAAAGTATACAAAAAGCAACTGGAAAGCATAAGGATATAATTACACTAATTATAAAATATTAAAAGCATTTTTAAAAAGAAGCATATGGCAAATAAAAAATATTATTATTACTATAAAGAAAAATATATCAAATTATATCCATTTTTTCCAAATACTGTTAACAATATTAGAATTCAACATTATAGAAGCACAAGGAATAGAACACAGTCAAACTAGAGTCTTGGACTTCAAAAGAGCTAATTTCAATAAACTTAGAGAGGGCTTGGGAAGGATTCCATGGATGAGAATCCTCAAGGGGAAAACAAGAAGCTTGGGAAATTTTGAAAAATGAGATAATAAAAGCACAGTCTAGCACAATACCAACAAAGAGGAAAAACAACAGCTCTCAAAAGAAACCAGCATGGCTGCATAAAGAACTCTTTGACAAATTGAAAGATAAAAAGGACAAGTATAGAAAGTGGAAAGAGGGGAACATAACTAAGTCAGAATATCAGCAAATAGCCCGAGCCTGCAAAGATGAAGTGAAGAAAGCCAAGGCTCAAAATGAACTAAGGCTTGCAACCAAAGTCAAAAATAACAAAAAAAGCTTCTTTCAACATGTAAAAAACAAGAAAAAAGTGAAGGAAATGATTGGTCCATTAGTGGGTGGAAGTGGCAAGAAGGTGACAAGCAACAGGGAGAAAGCAGAACTATTTAACTCGTTTTTTGCATCTGTCTTTACACAAAGGGAAAAAACAGACCAACCTATCAAAAATAGTGCCATAAAAAACAAAATAGAAACACAAGATAAGATAGGCAAGAAAATGGTAAATGAGCACCTGTCCAGCCTAGATGAGTTCAAATCGCCAGGACCAGATGGATTACACCCCAGAGTTCTCAAGGAACTGGCAGATGTGATATCGGAACCACTGAACTATATTTTTCAAAGATCCTGGAGCACAGGGTAACTTTCAGAGGACTGGAAAAGAGCTGATGTAGTTCCCATCCTCAAAAAAGGAAAAAAAATGGATCCAGGAAATTACAGACCTATCAGCCTGACCTCAATACCTGGGAAGATCCTGGAAAAGATAATCAAACAACGAATCAACGAACACCTAGAGGCAAACAAAGTCATTACTAAAAGCCAACATGGGTTTGTCAAAAATAGATCATGCCAGACAAATCTTATTGCATTCTTTGACCAAGTGACAAAATTAGTGGATCAGAGGAATGCTGTGGACATAATTTACTTGGACTTCAGTAAGGCATTTGATAAAGTAGATCACAACCTACTACTTGATAAGATAGAAAAATGTGGGGTAGACAGAATCACCACCAGATGGATCCGTAGCTGGCTGACGGCCGTACTCAGCGAGTGGTCCTCAATGGAACTGCATCTATATGGAGGGAAGTGTGTAGTGGGGTGCCCCAGGGCTCTGTTCTGGGCCCAGTGCTCTTCAACATCTTCATCAACGATTTGGACGAAGGGATAGATGGGGAACTCATCAAATTTGCAGACGACACCAAGTTGGCAGGAATAGCCAACACTCCAGAAGACAGGCTTAAGATACAGAAGGATCTGGACAGACTTGAACACTGGGCACTAACTAACAAAATGAAATTCAATGGTGAAAAAAGCAAGGGTCTACATTTAGGCAAGAAAAACCAAATGCACAAGTACAGCATAGGTGGCACCATGCTCAATAGTAGTAACTGTGAGAGGGACCTCGGAGTCCTAGTAGACAAGCACCTAAATATGAGCCAGCAGCAAAATGGCCAACACAGTGCTAGGCTGCATTAACAGAGGGATAGAATCAAGATCACGTGAAGTATTAATATCACTCTTCAATGCCTTGGTAAGGCCACACTTGGAATACTGCATCCAGTTTTGGTCACCACGATGTAAAAAAGATGTTGAGATTCTAGAAAGAGTACAGAGAAGAGCAACAAAGATGATTAGGGGACTGGAGGCTAAAACATATAAGGAACGGCTGCTAGAATTGGGTATGTCTAGTTTAACGAAGAGAAGGACAAGGGGGGACATGATAGCAGTATTCCAATATCTCAGGGGCTGCCATAAAGAAGAGGGAATTAAGCTATTTTCCAAAGCACCTGAAGGCAGGACAAGAAGCAACGGGTGAAACTAATCAAGGAGAGAAGCAACCTAGAACCAAGGAGAAACTTCCTGACAATGAGAACAATTAATCAGTGGAACAGCCTGCCTCCAGAAGCAGTAAATGCTCCAACACTGGAAGTTTTTAAGAAGAGACTGGACAGCCATTTGTCCGAAATGGTGTAGGGTTTCCTGCCCGAGCAGGGGGTTGGACTAGATGACCTCCAAGGTCC